GTGCGAACATCAGCAGGGATGAACCTACATAGACACTGTCGTCGATTATTTAGGTTGATCGTAAGCTATCATGTATCGTAGATAGGAATGACTTAGGCCATTCGCGGCGCGTGGTGGAAGAATCGTAGCTTGTGACTTGCTGCTACCAAATGATACGATAGAAACTTAGGCACCTGTGACCACCAAGTACTTAGCGTTAGTGTGAAAATCGTGCACGTAAAATAAACGAGCAAGCTTAAGTGACGGGGAGGAGACAGGGGAAAATGTAATGACCTGCACCTCGGAGTCTATTATTATAGCTATCCACCATTTCGAAACGTTGTTACAATTATAGTTTATATTAAAGGACATTAATAATAGGATAGCAACACTATAAAAATAGTGATAGATGAATAATAGATTCACCATAATTGACTTCTTTGAATAAAAATGTCAGCTCACCAATTTTAATGGTGATCGAGTCGAGATTGACTATGATCACTAATAAATACTAATTACAGGCCCGTATCAGAGAAGATAAATTCATCCATGGTAAAGCACATTTTTGCTGCCGATTTCGTGTTATCGAAAGAACACCGAAATCGAGCCAGGAAAGTGGGCGAAATTACTGAGACGGTGGAGTAAAGATGGCATCAACACAAATGTAAGTTTGTACGCAAAGAGTGTTATAAACAAAACAATGATACAATTAGTTATAATAATAAATGTTTCCATTAAACCAATCGCTTTCTCTTCATTAAAAGCGAATTTACTACAAATTCAAGATTTGACTAACACGTACTCACTGATGTACTCAGTACTCAATTAGTCATATGATAATCCTCGAAGAATTCATACACAATTTTTTTTAAGCATTGAGTGTGCATTCATCACATATAATTATTGAATGGATATTTTGTTTACGTCATTGAAATAAACAATGGAAAATTGTACAACATAATGTTACTAATTAGACAAGCAATGAAAAATTATCATTTACAGTGATAAATTGACACCAGCTTTTTACTGGATATGTATGTCCAGTTCAATGGCTTTTATCATTTCATCACCTTTGAATCCGAGGTGTTATGAATAAACTTCCTCTTCAACTGTTATTGTTGAGAAAAACTCCAGTCCCAGTATCATTTTGTAGATTTATCACAGCAGCTCCTCATCTAGAGTTTACTAAATTCCAAAGTCATTAAAGTGAAAATGGCCTTCATGCTCATCGTTCATTAGTGAGTTTAATTGCATAACGGGCGTTACTAAAACAATCAAGTAAATATCTTCAATAGCTCAAACTCTTGCAGATAATTAGTATTTTCATGCAGTTAGTTCCTTTGATAAACTTTTGTGAAGTAAAAATAACTCGTGATACGGGATGAATTGAATTCATTTCCTTTCTCGTGCTCTAACATAAATAAGATGTTTTTCAATGGAATTACATGTGTAACGAGTATCAATATTCTGCCAACCCGTTTACAGTAGAATGTTACCCCATTGACTGAATACTGTACTTCATATGTTGCGAGTAACCCATAAAGATATCAGTGGAAATCCAGCTTTAGAGGTTATTCGCAGCGAGTACTGAAATATTTAACACAAATCTATGTTCATTTAGGTCTCTATTGTTTGCAATCAACAAGACGGAAATTAGTAGGGAATAAAGCAAAGCAGAATTGATGTTAGTGGAAAAGCTATATGGTAAAGATATAGTTGGAGGACAGCGAATGAAATCATTAGAACACATTTAAACAAACAATACTATTTTCAGTTAGATCGTCATCAGGCTTTCTACTCTAATATACATGAATATTTAAATGAAAATGTTAAACCAGTCAAGGTTATTTGAGTCAATAATCACAATCACATGAAATAGATTACGTCATTACATATAATTAGTAAACGTACAAGTGGATAATAGGAAGACAAATGGACTGATAGTAGTGGCAAGAATAATAAAATACGATAACAAAAGTTTCTGTCAATAGTTCAACATTGGAAATATTAGGTCAGAGATGGATAAATAGAGTTAGAATAATCCTTACAAAACCCTATAACCATTACGTAATAAGCAGTGTGTAAATAATTAGACAGTGAACAATATGAAGAGAAAGAGGCAGAAAATTACCAACAAATACAGGATGTGAAAATAATGACAATAGTAACAAAAATGAAATAAAAATACGAAAATTTTTTAAACCTTGGTTAAGTTATATCCGGCCATGGAAGGGATAGGGGTGTTACGGATTTCTTCTGAACACAAAAAAATAGGGTTGGCTGTACGAATTCCTATGACTACTTCTATATGTAGGAGACCAGATGAAACTCCGTTGGGAAATAATCGAGGTATACGATGGATCACTCGAAATGATTCAGACTTATCTGCAGCATGACCATTATCAATCAGATATGTCAAGCTAGAACTGAGTATTGTTTTTTATCTGGGCCATCATAAACTATGCTGAAAGATGTTCATTCATTCGCTGATTAAGTTGCTTGGTAGTACGCCCGATATAGCTATTTCCACAAGAGCAGCTGAATTTGTAAATGAACATAGAAGAGGCCAACTTAGGTAACTTTATCCTTCGTTTGAGTAGACATCGCTGGTCAATCCGAAAAAGTCAACGCCAGTTTAGCTGCGTACAATGTCCTACTAATTACTTTCTGTTGGGGGATGTTAGATCGCCAAAACTCACTTGATAAATGCCTTTTCTTGGATTTCACGTTTGCCAGCACGGGCTGATCAGTTGACCTTGAGATTTCATTTCCGACCAGGAAAATCCTTGGCTACAATTGGATGCTGTGTATTTTAGTGTGCTATTTTTGTGACTGTCCCAAGGACGTTTCTATGATGTATAAATAAACGAGAGTTGTGTGCTTGATTGTATTGTGATTGCTGGGTGTTTGTAGAATATACTTTCTATGCTTGTCAAGACTTCTGTTTTGCCATTTTTGGATCAACGTAACCCACCTGGACGTTGGTTCATTATCTCGTTCGCGTTTATCGACTAAGGTGAACTCGTAATAGTTTCAAGCATACCTAATAACGAACCTAACACTTTCGTTAATCTGATTTGCAGAGTATCGCTAACCGTATTCCCGATGAATTGTAGTTAATTGAATAAAGTCTTCTTCCGAACGGTCAAAGTCTCCGAGTTCTGAGAGAACAAAATGCGATTGTCTGGATGGGGCTTTAAACCAGCTTGGTGGGTACGGAAGATTCATACAGTAGAGTCGAAAAACACTGATTCAAAACAGCCGGTGCACATAGGCTCCAAAATCCTGACGGAAAGATTGACGAACATAATGTTGCTCACCGACTGCCATGGGACTGAATCTCCTGATTTCACTCAACTATCCTGTAGAAGAGACCTCTGAGTCAAAAACTGAAGGAATGGTTCCTTAGGAAAAGCAAGTTTTCTTGTTTTGACCACCTGGGAAATATCCCAGACCACAAACAAATTCACTGATTTTTGCGGCGCATAAATATTTTGATGCCTTTTATTCGTTTAAATAATAATGATGATCCCAATATCAGAAGATTTCAATTCTACTCAATCCAAAATAGAAAGTACACTAAATACTTTCAAATTTTATATGGTTTTTCAGTGTTCGCTTCTCAGTTTCGTTAAAAAACTAAATAGTTCTGACATGAAAAAGTTTCAATGCAACTACAATCAACGTGCAATATGGCTCAAAGACCAAACAATTTCACTGGGATCAACTATATATGAACCTCATCAATTATGACTTCTTACAAGTATCCTTTTGGTTTTTTTAACGGTACAACTGAGATCAACCAGTCACCAAATAAAAATAAAATTAGAAAACCAATTCTCCGACTAAATCCTTTCAACTAATTTATTACTACTTATTATTGCACAGAAGATGATATCTCTGGTTTACATGTTTTTCTGTAATTCAAGTAACAAGTTTATTGAATTTGAATACAGATTGTCTGTTCTTACTATTATTCTCTCTTTTAATATCTACACATTCGTGAGACGAAAGTCACCAATGGCTAGAGACCTTGAATGACATGGCTCAAAATCGTTTGCAATGGCGCAAGTGTATCCATTCGTTGAGCTCACTCAAATCCTAATCTTCTGGAATCGTCAGCATCTCTACCTTTGTCTTTCTAACCTTATCTTACTGGATTATACTTCATGAATAATATCTTCAAACCCTAGTCTTCTTCATTACCATTAATGCCTCTACTATCTTTATCACTATGGGATTTGATTTGACATTTGCGTCTCTGTGCTAATGTGGTATGGCGACATGTACTTATGTGCATATGTACGAAGTTCTAAGTTGCAATTGACTGACTGACTGACTAATATCTACACACTAATGAAAGCTGTAAGTCAGTCAGTCAGTCAACTGGCGAATGGAATTAATAACTTTCATTCAACCATTTATTATTATATCGTTTATCATGTATAAATTGTTCAACAATTGTTCAAATGTTCTAGTTATTCAAAACTAATCAACAATTGTACAAATTCATTTTGATTTCTTATATATAAAATTTTTTGTTAAATGAAAATTAAGTGTAGATGTGGATAAATTGGTGATAAATCAAAATCGGTAAACAAAACACAAACCTATCAATTAATATGATTATATATTAATAAAATGATACAAAACTAGATAAAAATATTTTCAATGTTGATAAAGAAATCCATTGAAGTGCTATTTCATTAATGTACAATAAGTATCAATAGAAATTACTTTGATAAATATATTCAACATTTCATCATTGATTTTCATGTGAACTTCATTTTGTGTGCGAAATGCATATACTGAATAATATTTCTCTATATATATATTGATGATCGTGTACTTAATTATTGTTTCAAATACTACTACTACTACTAGACGAATGTGCATTTATGTATGATTGACATACATAAATGTAGAGTGGAGTGATCATTAGTCTAGAATTATCATTTTCTACATTACAATCGGAACTTTATATATAGAAATTGTTGAATTAATCCATATGTTTACATGGCTTACACTATTTGAATAGTCTCGTTTGGAATTGTATTAAATGTTTGTGTGTTATCGGAAAATTGACTATTTTTATTTTTCACATATTCATTATATGCTAAATGTTTATCAATTAATAATTTTGATTCATGGATAATGTATAAATTATAAATTAATAAAATAAACCATATTATCAGAATAAAAATACTCCATATAGTTAGAAATAATAAACCAGTGAATAGATCATTTTTACTAGGCCATTCATGATGTGATTTTTCAATTTTTAAACGTATTGATATTTTCGGTTGATGATGCCATGTATTCGGTTGACGTGTATCTTTGGTATAACAACTATACACATCAGAATCATTTAAATTGACATTGTGAATAATTAATTCACATTTTTCATTCATATGAATTCGTTCATTCAATATAGTACGTAAATAAAATGTATAATTCGATGTACGCCATATAATTGGATAATCATTGTTTGGATTATCACATTTATAATCTTCTGTAAGATGACAGTCTAATTTTAATAATGGTTCATGTTCAATAGCTAATTTTTCTAATTTCATAAATCTTACATCTTCAAAACCAAGAATTTTCAATTTCATTTTAGTTATATCACGTTGTAAAGCTAAATTCACAATTTCCATTGCATCCGATTGACCACAACTTAATTCATATGTTACGGTAATGTGAAGATTGAAAATTTTCAATGGTTGAAATGCTCCATTTAAATTAGGCAATTGTTTAAAAAAATTATATTGACATGGTATATAGAGATAAGTTTCATTCATAAACAATTTGAAACCTAAATCATTTGCTTGACTTTCTGAGGTTTGTTTAAATGTCTCCCACAAATCCGATTGGTCAATATCATCATAAAATTGTCCAAATTCACTGAATCCATTTAATAAAATCAAATATATTAATTGTATTTCTTCCGGATAATTGTCAATATTTGTCGGTAACGATCTAGGTATACGTATATAACAGACACGATTTTGTCGAACTTTAATACGACCACAAGATTCATGATCTGTTAAATTATGAAATGATTTCGATGTAATATACAATAAATTAAATTCTTGATCTTGAAAATCTTCTGATAAATCAATCTCTTTTTCAACAATATTTTGAAATTGTGTTAATTGATAATTTGATGTGGCAAATTTATTCATTTGATGTATTGAAGGTATACTTAATTTATATGATACAGATTCATAAAAATTTATATAATCTATATGATACCATATAAAATTTGAAGGATGATCATTGTCATGTAGTGATCGACATACATAAGTACCAGAATCCGTCATTGGTGCAAATTTTGTATATATTAATTCATTGGTATGATTCACCAAACAAGGATCATTCATTTGCACATCACTTACAACTGGTTCAAGTAAATTTACATCCAGTATCCATCTACTACCATAAAACGTATTGTCACTTAAAGTAAATATTGTTTTGCCATATTTTTTACGAGTGATACGAAACCATTGGAAATTTGTTGAATTTTCATCTGGACATATAAGACAGGTTAATTCTAAACTTGTATTTTCATCACGTCTAATAAGTTTAACAATATGACGTTGTTCAGCTAAATCTGATTGTTGTGTATAACACTTATCTGTATCATTATCATAAGTGACATTTTTATTATCTGTGCAAAAGTTTAAATCACCCGAAATCATGATCAGATTGAGTAAGAAAGAAAATACCACTAATGAGATAACATAAATGAAGTAGAATGCATGAGCTTTACAATATTTGTACATAAGTTAAGTTGAATTTCCGTTACGACCTTGTGTTTTAAAATAATTGACTTCATTGGATCGATTAAATGCAATATCCTCATGAAAAAACAGCGTGATGTCAGTAATATGGTGAGCCAATCAGAAGTGGCCAAATGAGAAGGTCATTTGATAGCCATCAGAAATGTCCAAAATGATGAATGCATATCCATTGGTCAAGAAATAGATTCGTTTTCTAAGGCGATGAGACGACTAAGCAAATGATTCGGCAGCCTTAATCTTCTGCTTTCGTTCTCTCGCATAAATATCAAGTTTGGGGAGTCGACGCAAATCATGTTCAAATCTCGGATAGACCTACACAATAATAATAATCATAATAATTCAATTATACAATACAAATAGAAATTTACTTATTGGCACAATGACCGTTAATTTGGTGAATATATATAAACAAACCAAATTAAGAACCATTCATTTTTATTGATAATGTTTTAACAGATCAGATATATGATTTGTAAACAGCATTCGATAAACAAAGATGGATTGAATCATATTGACAAAATGAACGATTGGATTTATTATCGATGGTTTACATATTTATTAATTTACACTGTTATTGGTATGCCACTTATTATTCATTTGTATTAATATTGGTTTCTTTACAATAATTTTCGGCCTTCATTTTCGTACAAACACAATTTGAAGGGGTTTCATTGGTAATTTTTCATAAATTGATTGTGAACTGAATAAGTAGGACCACTGATCGTTGACTAGTTGTCATATCACAATTTTTTAACTCTGCCGTGTATAACTAAATTAAAATGAAACAACTAACCATTAATTTCATTCCTATGTTATTTGTTTTGTTATGAATACTCAACTAGTGTCATTTTAATGATGAACGTAAGGCAATTGATTTTGTTTTTGTTTTTGAGAGTATCATTTATCTAGAAAGTGTTCAATAATAATATATACTCAACATTGATCTATAATATCTGTGTAAGGACTGGTGATATTAACCAATTAGTGATTAAATCTCACACTCTTCATTAGTCAACCAGTTAGTCATCATCTTTGTCTCCGATTATAAATTGCCCAAATTGTCTGTCCGGATCCAGAAGTCTGTCATCTTACACCATATATAGTTGAATAAATGATAACTATATTTATCTCATTTGCGCATATCGTGTATCAGTCAAATTAATAAAAAATATAAGGCTAGTTGTGTTTCTTGAACCCGTGACATTAAAATAACATAGGTCAAACTTTCTGTTTATAGGTTACCCTTGAATAGGTTTAATAACTGCTTAGACAAAAATATCCTGCATATGGAATGAATTCAAGGTCTGTCTGTTATGATGTGTCCGACATGTGAACACGAAGATTAATATTTGAGAGAATGCAAAGAGTGGATGCGCTTGAACCATTGTCAACGATTTTGAACCATGTCATTCAGGGTCTCTAACCATCGGTTACTATTGTCCCACGAACCCCTACTACGTAGCCTACATCTACCCACATGACTCAGTCCACTTGTCAGTGACTTTATGGATTTCTGCTATGTCTTCGTTTGGCCGCCTCTAGCTTTCTTTCAACCCACTCCTACACCACAAAACATCGCTCGTCGAGGCAGTCGGTGGTTGGGCATATGTAACACATGTTTCAACCACCTCAACTGACGAAGTTTCAGTACTTCATCTATTGATCTGCCATCCCTACCTAGTACTCGTTTCCTAACTACAGCATTGCTCACTCAGTTGTCCCACGATATACCAGCAATGCTTCTAAAACATCTATAACAGAATACCAAAAACACATGAATGTCCTCTGCTCTTACCTGCCACGATTCGCACCCATATAGTAGGACGGAGCGAACCGCTGCAAGTACACTCGTCCTTTAATTAGCAAGCGGATACCTCACCTGCGCCATAGGTGACGCAATTCGGCAAAAGCCTATCGGGCGTTCTGTGTCCATGCTGAGATTTCGTCAGTCACCAGGCCATTAGCATTGATGAGACCTCCTAGAAAATGAAGCGGTCTACACGCGCGACTACTTCACTCCCTGTCACTAGTTCAGTTGCCGATGCAACCCAATCATGAAGCAACATTTTTCATTTTGAGGAGTAGAACAGCATCCCAAACATGCTTGCGTTGTTGCTCAGGCTAGTCAGGAGACACTGCATTTTGTCAGCGTCTTCACCAAGTAGGACTTTGTCATCGGTATATTCTAAGTCAGCCAACGATTCTTCTGGTAGGTCTACTCCTGAAATGTCAAACGAAGATAATGTTACTCTAAAAGCATGTTCACGACAAAGTTAAACAAGAATGGGGAGAATGGACATCTCTGACGGACACCACTTGAAGTAACCAATTCCAATAACAGTTAGTCATAAGCTCTCACTCGACCAGTGATGTTCGAGTAGAGAGTCTGTATAAGGTTAATGTACTTATTTGGTACACCTTTTAATGCTAGACACTGCCACAGAACCTCAAGATCAACAGATGCTAATGCCTCCTCAAGGTCGAAAAATACTAACATTGTGAGGCGTCTGAACGAGTGTCTTTGTCCTAGGACCTGACGTGGTGTGAAAACGTCCAGGTCTGAAACCAGCCTGCTTTTCTCTTTTGCACTTCATGAGCTCTAGTCTACTCTTTACGAGGTTTTTTGAAGCGCGGGAGTATTATTGAGAACAATATTTCTGATACTATATTGGTTAGACTTTCGCATAGAAAATGAACTCGCTTAAAAATGCCAACCAGAAAACATAATTCAAACCATTTTAACTCTGCCATGGGAGTTAGGCAGTCGTCTTTCAGAAGAGTGATGACGTCTCATGATGAGAGCCGAGTTTCTTAGGAAGTTGCGAGGCCGGTCCCCCTTCTGACAGCAAAAACAACCATTCCTTTAGCTACATGAAATGTTCGAAAATTGTGGGAGGCCGGAAGACTGTTCCAAAGTGATGCACAAATGAAAAGAGACAACCTGAAGGTGCTTGGAATCAGTTAAACGCATTGGACGCAAATTGGACATCTGAGACTAGCTTCAGGAGAGCTGGTGTTATACTCCAGCCATGAACAAGAAAATGCTTCGCACGCACAAGAAGTTGCACTGATGCTGTCCAAACAATCACAAAAGGCACTGATAGGATGAGAATCTCATGTACCAGTACTATCAAAGCATCCTTCAAAACGAAGAAAGTGGGCATTACAATGAACATCATCCAATGCTATGCACCTACCAATGACCACAATGACGACGTTAAAGATCAATTCTATGAAAGGCTGCAGTCAATCATCCACATATGCTCATCAAAGATTTGACGATTCTGATGAGAGACCTAAATTCCAAGGTTGGCATGGACAACACTGGATATGAAGGAACGAAAATGGTGAGAGATTTGCAAACCTATGTTTTCAACAAACTGGTCATCGGCGTCACGATATTCTCACACAAACGCATCCAAAAAGCTACATTAATTTCATTGGATCACATCATACAGAACCTAATCGATCATATCTGCATCAATAAAAAGTTCAGAAAGACTATAGAGGACGTGCGAACCAAGAGAAGGACTGATGTAGCCTCAGATAACCACTTGCTGGCCGCCATAATAAAACGGAAACTCAAGAAACACTGGACAATGGCGTGGATAACATCACTAAAGTTTAATCAATCAACATCTGGGACTCAAAACACCTATTCACCAATATCATAGACAGGATTTTCAAATGTAAAGACACTTTTACTGTACGAGGCGGAAACTTGGAGAACTACGAAAGCCATCATCCAGAAGATACAAGTATTAATTAACAGACGTCTACGCAAAATACTTCGAATCTGTTGGCCAGAAACCATCAGCAACAGTCTTCTGTGCGAAAGAACGAACCAGATTCCAGTGGAGGAGGAAATCATGACAGGACACACATTGCGCAAAGCACCCAACTGCGTCACAAGACAAGCCCTCACTCGTAATCCTCAGGGTCGAAGAAAAAGAGGAAGGCCAAGAAACAAATTACACCGAGAAATAGAGAAAGATGTGAGAAGAATTATCGAAAATTGGACATAATTGGAAAGGGAGGCTCAGGACAGAGTTTGTTGGAGGAATACTGGTTTGAGGCCTATACTTCATTGTGGGTCACAGACGAAATTAAGTAAGTAGGTTATGATAATGATACAGATAAGTGTTATACACAACAATCAGATTTAGCTGAACAACGTCATATTGTTAAACTTATTAGACGTGATGAAAATACAAGTTTAGAATTAACCTGTCTTATATGTCCAGATGAAAATTCAACAAATTTCCAATGGTTTCGTATCACTCGTAAAAAATATGGCAAAACAATATTTACTTTAAGTGACAATACGTTTTATGGTAGTAGATGGATACTGGATGTAAATTTACTTGAACCAGTTGTAAGTGATGTGCAAATGAATGATCCTTGTTTGGTGAATCATACCAATGAATTAATATATACAAAATTTGCACCAATGACGGATTCTGGTTTATTTGCCTCTATTTAGTGAGTGTATCTCACCTAAATTTTGTGTAAGTTGCCAGTGCGAAAAGGATTTTAGAATTTCAGAGATTAGTCGTCAAAGCAACAGAAATTTATAGATTATACTTGTATGTTATTTGAAAATATTATACGTTCGAGAAAATAATGAAGACTATTTTCTACCTTAACATTTCAGTCGTTGAGTAATAATCCAATTTCTTATCTCTACACTGAGCGCAGGTAAATTCTACTGTGTCAGGCTAGCAAATGGCGACAAGGTAATTGGATTCTGCTTCGTGTTGTATGTACTTGATCACAATCAAGGGGAAACCTTTGATGAAAATTTGATATCTCATATGAAACGGCACTTACTTTGAGTGTGCAGACACCATCCTGATGATGACAAGTTTAAACCGAAACAATACTTATATTCTGAAAGTACCCTTAGTTTTTCCTAAACTCGTAACATTTCATTCATAACCAGGAAAATGTGACACTTACGCATGGCTACTCACAAATAAGTTAAGCAGTTTAAATTGTCATCCGTTTAAGTAACTTGATTATTTGGAAATCAATCTTTTTTCAATGTTTCCTGTCTGTCGAACTTTATCTTGATGTACTATCTCATGACAAAGATTGTGAAGTCAAATGTATGATTATTATTTGATCTATTCGGAATTGTCTCTTTGGGATCATATATATACGTGACAAACAAAAGTTGTTCTGTCTATCATATTGTGTTTCATAATTCTATTGAAAGCCGATAATCTGAACAGCTGCTTCACATCGAAATCCTACTTAATTCAAATCTATCGTGTTTCAGATATCCAGTTAATAGATCAATTTACACGTTTTCATGGTTTTACTACTGTTGTCACTGCTATATTTTACATGAATTAACCCAGAGTTTTTCCTAAATATATAAACAACTAAGGCAGAAAGATACTATTTTAGACCAGCCTTTTAATCACCATCAATGTATTGATCCAAACTGCCATATCTCACGCGGGAACAGTAAGAGAGGAAATTAACAGAAAATGAGACGAAAAAGCAGAATTTATTCCGGACTTAATAATGAGAGATGCTGTTTGATATAAATAAATAAAACTAAAGTGTAAAAATTCAAGATTGACTCTTAACTCAGGAGTAAGTGCAATATATACAGTTGATTTGATACACCTGCAGCTATTACGATTTCACCTTATTCGGTAAACAGAACGAAGATCATTGGTTCAGCAACAGGATAGGCTACTCTAATCCGATCGTCCCGGGCCCCACTAACTAGAGCAAGAAGTCTTGATAAGACGTAGAGAAATGTATTCCACAGGCACGCAGAAAGTACGAGTTCCACAAGTACATAACTCAAGACTAGTTATGCAATGATAAACCGCCCTTTGTGCGAGCCACCAATGACAGTCAAGGATTTCCCGAGTGGGCAATGCAAGCTGAGGGTCGAAATAAGCGTCTTTGGCGCGAAAACACAAAGTAAAAATTTCGGAATAAAAATACAATATTAGGACCTTTTCCAAGTGAGTTCTTGGGATCTAACGTCCCCAACAGATTTATGACTGAATATAGATCATTATCTTGTTTGTATAGTCCTTTAGTTTTCATCAATTACATCTCACGACGGCACAAGTATATTGGTGGTAACTTTTCGGACTGTGAAGCTGGATGACATCAGCTCGCATAGCAGTGTTGCTCCCTTTAACTAGTTAATAGACTGATCGCGTTTGAAATACGATCGAAAACCATGTGGCAGCAGATAGCTGTTTCATCATGGGATGAAGCTCCTCAAAAGTTGCATAAACTTTTGTTGAACCCTGAACCATTCGAACAACTTGATCGTCAACCAGAGGTGCAATTTCAACTTTAAGTAATTTACATATGAATAACAGTGTTAGCAGATTGATAAAAACCCAGTCATATTCGATTAGCGATTTAATGTTTTGAAATTTATGTAACTCAGATTCGATGAGCCAGTATCTTAAACAATTTTATAATTCCACCAATTCAATTTATCGAATCATATTGGCTCCCGTAGCATCATCTGTCTTCTAACTCTACATGTGAATAACGGACTTAATGAAAAGAAGAAACTCTATATTGTCGAGAATGTCAGCTATTTAGAACTATTCATCTAGTTTCGATTATGGCTATTGTTAATCTGTAAATTTGTAGTTGTGTTAGATCTAATTTCTTTTCACTTAATTCTGATAACACATCATTTCTCAAAAGTAAACAATAAATCATTTGAAATATAGTAAGCTGATGGTATTGATGTCTTTTTTGAAAATTTCCTAGTTCCATCATGTCAAACCAATAAACTTTACAATACAACATTAAATCAACCTCTAGGCTGTCATTCACTACTTACGAGTAGTGTATTACAACATCATATAGAACAATTATTAACTCATTATGGTAAAGATAGTGTATACAAAATTGGTAATCCAATAAAATTTGGTACTGCTGAATTTTTCGAAGTAAGAATTAATGGTTTATCTGCTGTACAGTTTGCTGGACCAGTTGATATTATTGATCTACCATCAGGAAATATACGAATGATATTTACGTTATTATTTGACTATCTTGTAATAAATGGAAAAATGAAAATGATCGTGTTTGCTACGAATCCTCGGGTAATTAGCTGTTTGTTTCTTTTTAAATTAGCTATTGTTTCAAAGTTGCGTTTATAAAGTAGGAAATTTTATATTTAGTAAGATGTGATTTACGGAAGGCTACATCGACACAGATTTCTTACAGATTAGGACCTGTCAACAGGTCCTGATTATAAATGCTACCTTAAAGTGGTATTTTGGTTTACCAGTTGTGATGGCTCAGTTGAGTTTTATTACTTGAAACACTTTTTGATTTAGGTTTTCTCAACTCAAGAAAGTCGTTTTCGAAGAACGATGAAACTAAGATTATAAACAGTCAACTGTATTGAAGTTTGATGACATCTATAAATGCCGTCCTCCCACAACGGTGGGAAAGGATTAGTATAGGTCGTCTTTAAAATTGCTTTTATGAACTTACTCCATAGATTTATGTTGACAGCATTAAGACCGCGAAATTATGGATCCAACAAGTCAAGAGCTATTCATAAAAATGTATATGTGATCAGTCTATAGCCTTTGCTACTTAGGTTCTGTAGTCGCTCTTCCATGTAGCTATTACTTACTTACATACTTACGTCTGTTATTCCCAATGGAGCATAGGCCGCTCACCAGTTTTCTCCAACCAACTTTGTCCTGGGCTTCCCTCTCCAGTTCTGTCCAATGTTTGTTCATTCCTCTCATATCTTTCTCTATTTCTCGGAGTAATGTGTTCCTTGGCCTTACTCTTTTCCTTTTGCCTTGAGGGTTCCATGTGAGGGCTTGTCTCATGATGCAGTTAGGTGCATTTTGTAGTGTGTGTCCTATCCACTTCCACCACTTCTTCCTGATTTCCTCCTCCACTGTAATCTGGTTTGTTCTCTCCCACAGTACGTTGATGCTGATAGTGTCTGGCCAACGAATCCGAAGTATTTTGCGTAGACAACTGTTCATAAACACTTGTATCTTCTGGATGATGGCTTTCGTAGTTCTCCATGTTTCCGCTCCATACAGTAGAACTGTCTTGACATTTGTATTGAAAATCCTGATTTTGGTGTTGATTGATGTCTGTTTGGAGTTCCAGATATTTTTCAACTGTAGAAATGTAGCCTTGCCAATCCGCGCCGTCACATCTGCATCGGATCTACCTTTCTCGTCGATGATGCTGCCCAGATATGTAAAGGTGTTAACGTCCTCCAAGGCATCTCCATCAAGAGTGGTTTGGTTGGTGCATGTTGTGTTGCATCGGAGAATTTTGCTTTTCCCTTTATCTATGTTGAGACCTACTGCTACAGAGGCTGCTGCTACACTGGTCGTCTTCTCTTGCATTTGTTGTTGCGTGTGCGATAGAAGGGCCAGGTCATCTGCGAAGTCCAGATCGTCCAGCTGCGTCCTAACTGCCCATTGGTTACCGTGCTTCACCCCAGATGTTGACGTCTTCATAATCCAGTCGATGACCAGGAGAAAGAGAAAGGGTGAGAGTAAGCAACCTTGTCTGACACCGGTCTTTACCTCAAAAGAGTCTGTCAGCTGACCTCCGTGCACGATTTTGCAGTTGAATCCATCATAAGAATTCCGTATGATGTTAACTGTTTTCTCAGGCACACCGTAGTGTCGAAGAAGCCTCCACAGTGTTTTCCTATCCACGCTATCAAATGCTTTCTCGTAGTCGATGAAGTTGATGTAGAGTGGTGAATTACATTCAATTGATTGTTCCACAATGACCCGTAATGTTGTAATTTGGTCAGTACACGATAGATCCAGCCTGTTGATCTCGAAGTTGGACGTCTACGAAGTCCTTCATTCTGTTTAACAATACCCTATTGAAGAATTTGCCTGGTATTGAAAGAAGAGTGATGCCTCTGTAGTTCTCACACTTGCTCAGATCGCCTTTCTTTGCTATTTTGATCAGGGATCCTTCTTTCCTATCTGATGGTACTTGTTCCTCATCCCAAATCTGCTTGAAGAGGATGTGAAATATTTTCGCAGTTGATTCTACATCTGCTTTCATTGCCTCTGCTGGAATGTTGTCTGGTCCTGCTGCTTTGCCGTTCTTGATTTGTCTGATGGCCATTCTGATCTCTTCAATCGTAGGGGAGCCAATATTGATTGGGAGGTCCGTGGATGCTGCTTCGATGTTGGGTGTATTCAGTGGAGCTGGTCAATTCAGGAGTTCCTGAAAGTGCTCTACCCAGCTATTTCGCTGTTCTTCAGTGTTGCTGATTACTTTGCCTTCCTTGCTTTTCACTGATCGTTCTGGTTTACTAATAGTTTCCGGCCAGCTTCTTTGTTGTTTCGTACAATTGTCTCATGTTTCCTTCTCTTGCAGCATTTTCCACCGTCATTGCTAGATCATCCACATATTTTCGTTTGTCAGATCTGATGCTCTTCTTCACTTGCCTGTTTGCTTCTGTGTGTGCAGCTTGTGCGGTAATGTTCTCTGCTCTTGTTCGGCTGACATTGATTGCTGCCTTCTTGTTCCTCCTATCTTCAATTTTTGCAAGAGTATCAACAGAGATCCACTCCTTATGATGGTACTTCTTGTGACCCACAACCTCCTGACATATTGAAGTCATTGCCTCCTTCATCCCTTTCCGATTTCTCTCCAAGGTTGCTTCCTCTCCATTGAGTATATTGTGCAAGGCCTGGAACCTATTGGTGAGGGCTATCTTGAATTCGTTGAGTTTTACGGTATCCTGAAGAAAGGCTGTATTAAACTTGTGTGATGTTGTCTGCCCCGTTGTCCAGTGTTTCTTTAGTTTCAGTTTCATTTTGGCGATCAGCAAGTGGTGATCTGAAGCTATATCGGCTCCTCTCTTGGTTCTCACATCCTCCATAGTCCTTCTGAACGTTTTGTTGATACAGATATGGTCGATTTGGTTCTGAGTATTGTGGTCTGGTGAAATCCATGTGGCTTTGTGAATGCGTTTGTGCGGGAATATTGTGCCACCGATGACCAGTTTGTTGAAGGCAAATAGGTTTGCAAATCTCCCGTCGTTTTCGTTCCTTTCTCCCAGTCCATGTCGTCCCATGATGTCTTCATATTCAGTGTTGTCCATGGCAACCTTGTCATTCAGGTCTCTCATCAGAATCGTCAAATCCTTTGGTGAGCATCTGTCGACGATTGACTGCATTCTTTCGTAGAATTGATCTTTAACATCGTCATTGTAGTCATTGGTAGGTGCATAACATTGGATGACGTTCATTGTAATGTCCTCTTTCTTTGTTTTGAAGGATGCTTTAATGATCCTGGGTCCATGAGATTCCCATCCTATCAGTGCCTTTCGTGCTTGTTTGGACAGCATCAGTGCAACTCCTTGTGTATGTGAAGCATTTTCCTCTTCATGACCAGAGTATAACAGCAGTCCTCCTGAAGCTATTCTCAGTTGTCCTAACTGTGTCCAATGCGTTTCACTGATGCCGAGCACCTCGAGGTTGTATCTTTTGATTTCTGCAGCAACTTGAAATAGTCTTCCAGTTTCCCACAATGTACGAACGTTCCATGTACCTAAAACAATGGTTGCTCTGATTGTCAGAAGAGGCATTGGCCCCGTGACTTTCGAAGGAACTCAGCTTTCATCACGCGACGTCATAATTCTTCATCGAAATCCCAGGGCAGAGTTAAAATTGTTGGGATTAATTTTTCTTGTTAGCGTTTTTTTGGCAAGTTAGTTTTAGTTGGGATGGGGTCGCCAACCCCATATCCAACCCCTCCTCCTTTATCCGGGCTTGGGACCGGCATTTGCCCCTAAGGTTCTACTGGCAGAGTTCCATGTAGCTATGGCCACTACTAATCTACTTTCCTATTCACATATTTCAAAGAGTGGCACCCTTCTGCTACTCAAGCGACCGGGATGTAGCAGCAGTTCGCACAACTCTTACAGCACTTTTATTCGCCATCAGCCAGCTCCATTATATTGAAGAAACTAATGCTTTCCGGAGGATTCCAAGATTTCAAGAATTCGCAAAAAAAACGTTATGAGTAGTTTCGTTAAAGAGTTAGGAAAATGCAGTTATAAGACCATGATATGAAAGAAGTCGTGTATGAAAATGGTTTTCTATGTTTGTACTGTAACATAAGTAACTTTCGTATATATTTTGTAATTCAATAATGAAGTAACTTATTTGAGAGTTTGCTATAAACAGAGGAAATGAACATAAGATAATCATTGATTTGTTTGTTATAAATACTCTACATAAAAGTAACTGAGAATTTGATCGATTGCACGTGAACACTTCTACTTAACAATGAATAACTAAAACAATTTATATATTCTAATCATTTCAAAATATTCTGAGTATTATACAAAGTTATTTTATATGATGTGGAATAAAAATTATTCATTTTGAAGTTCTCACCGGAAAGGTAGTTATGCATTCAATTCCAACTGATCTATCTTTTTATACATGCAAAATGTACTGAATAATTTTCAATAAAAATTATTTTATTTTTTTTCCGGTGTTTTTCTTTTTTGGAATTTATTCAATTAGCCAGTAGAAATCAAAATTAAATCGATTAAAATATTTTTGGATTTACTTCTTACACAACCAATGCACAATGATGTATTATTACCGATTAGTGTGAAAAAAGTGACTGTTATCCATTGGAATAATCTTCGATTTGATAGTAAAGGAGTTTTTACAGTATTTTTCAAAATGTTCAATCAATTTCGTCTATATGACAGTATCATTAAACGTTCGATTGAAAAAGAAATTTATCAACAAATTGAAACATCATTAAAATCATTTTTTAATGATTAACATATTGGTTTAATGATTAGAAAGGAAATATGTATAGCGTGAAATTTCGTTATATATATATTTATATATTTAGAACTTAGTCAGTTCTTCATACTTATCTGATTAACAAAATTGAATAATTTTGTTTTGTGTGAATTATTAGTCGAAATAAATACTGTTTATCTGTTGTACATTGAATTTTATCTATTCAAATGATATGATGTTTCTTTTGTATGGTATTTTTTGTTTTCGTTATATGATTGTGTGCACTGGCTTTTTCCAACATGTTGCCTGTGATGGAAAAGGTGATTTCCGTTTACTGACCAGACAAGACAAGTATACTTACTGTTTAACGATATACTCTGTTCTACTTCATGTGTGTGCAATGTAACATTGAGAAACAGATAATAATGATCACAATAATAATAGTAATAAGTGTCATGGAATGTCATGTTTGATTACTAGTCTTTGATCATAAGTGTATTCGGAGCATTACTCGAATCGGTTAAGACCACCAAGTATCCAATGTTAAGGATATATATGCGGAAATGGATGAAAATACCGAATCAGTTGATAAGGTAATGAATATTTATCGACTCTACAGTACATGAATTCATTGATGGTTTTCTGATCCTTGCTAGTAAGCGCATACAACTTGATTAGGGTTCATTTGATTTTCGTAACCAATGGTTGAAGATGTATAAAATAACTCAAACTTAGTCACTATGTCATGGATGCATTTATTCTTTGTCTTCTGTTACTTTAAGGTAGAATAAGATGTGGGATTGCTTATATATGTAGCTTATATAAAATATTATGGTAATGAAAACTTCATCACTCAATTCCTAGACGAATCTTATAACTTCAGACCACTTCAACACTTCAACATAAATAAAGGTGTAAAACGTGACTACAAGTTGTACTCCAAGGTTAACAATGTACAGAAAACTAGGTATAATTATAATGCCTTATATGACGTTATTCTTCAAGGAACTTCTGATAGCATACTAAATGTAGTGAAGACATAGGAAAATATAAAATCAAGATGCGATATAAAATCTTTCTTTTTAAGATGCATCTTAAAAACTTTTATTCGAATCCGACTGAAAAAAAGCGTCTAAACCGGTTATTCATGGTTCCAGAGATACTGGCGAAGGATATTTATTGACACCAAAAAAGAAATTTCTATTGATACTTATTGTACATTAATTTAATGGCACTTCAATGAATTTCTTTATCAACATTGAAAATATTTTTATCTAGTTTTGTATCATTTTATTAATATATAATCATATTAATTGATAGGTTTGTGTTTTGTTTACCGATTTTGATTTATCACCAATTTATCCACATCTACACTTAATTTTCATTTAACAAAAAATTTTATATATAAGAAATCAAAATGAATTTGTACAATTGTTGAACAATTTATACATGATAAACGATATAATAATAAATGGTTGAATGAAAGTTATTAATTCCATTCGCCAGTTGACTGACTGACTGACTTACAGCTTTCATTAGTGTGTAGATATTAGTCAGTCAGTCAGTCAATTGCAACTTAGAACTTCGTACATATGCACATAAGTACATGTCGCCATACCACATAAACACAGAGTCGCAAATGTCGAATCAAATCCCATAATGATAAAGATAGTAGAGGCGTTAATGGTAATGAAGAAGACTAGGGTTTGAAGATATTATTCAAGAAGTAAAATTCAATGAGTTAAGGTTAGAAAGACAAAGGTAGAGGTGCTGACGATTCCAGAAGATTAGGATTTGAAAGAGCTCAACGAATGGATGCACTTGAGCCATTGCAAACGATTTTGAGCCATGTCATTCAAGGTCTCTAACCATTGGTGACTTTTGTCTCGCGGATGTGTAGATATTAAAAGAGAGAATAATAGTAAGAACAGACAATCTGTATTCAAATTCAATAAACTTGTTACTTGAATTACAGAAAAACATGTAAACCAGAGATATCATCTTCTGTGCAATAATAAGTAGTAATAAATTAGTTGAAAGGATTTAGTCGGAGAATTGGTTTTTTTATTTTATTTTTATTTGGTGACTGGTTGATCTCAGTTGTACCATTAAAAAAACCAAAAGGATACTTGTAAGAAGTCATAATTGATGAGGTTCATATATAGTTGATCCCAGTGAAATTGTTTGGTCTTTGAGCCATATTGCACGTTGATTGTAGTTGCATTGAAACTTTTTCATGTCAGAACTATTTAGTTTTTTAACGAACTGTGATAAAACTGAACTTAACAACAAGCATTTTAAATATTCGATCATATCATTCTAGCATTATTCTTGTAGTTCATTTCATTAGGACTACTAACAAAGAATTTCTTTCCAAGACTTATAACCACGAATTATGTTGATACTGGGATTTTAAATGACTGATTTCTTTTAACAAGGTACCAATTTGGTTAGGGTTAGAAGACAAAAGTGATTTCAGAAGAAAACTTATTTCATCATCAAAAATTAATTGACTTTGTTACGTCTGTGGTTCGATCAACTACACACAGCCTTCCATTATTAACCTTGAATCCGCAGTTGAATTCCTTTTGGCTCATGATTCTCGAGTTTCTCTCTACCCAGCTTTGAGTTGTAAAATGCTGACAAACCGTAACCATATTTATATTTCACCGGACGTAATTAATATACTGACATACCGGATTACTTAACGAAGAATAACACATGAGCGATTCAAGAGTGGCTATGAATTGGCAGAGGCTGTAACTAATAAACTGCCATCAAAATAGGATTAGTAAACTATATAACGGTAGCTTTATTTCTTGACCTCTAACTTACTTCATTGACAAAATGAATCGAAATCTAAATTCTACAATTTCAACGCATAAAGCGATTACGTAATTTATATACCATCCAACCAACTTACTTACTTATTTATCTGCTAACCGAGTAACTAACTAACTTACTCACTTACTTACTTACTCACCTAAAACACGCTTACATAATTACTTACTTTGTTATTTACTTACCTATGTCTGTTACCCTCAATGAAGCATAGGCCACAAACCAGTATTCCTCCAACAAACTCTGTCCTGAGCCTCCCTTTCCAATTATGTCCAATTTTCGATAATTCTTCTCACATCTTTCTCTATTTCTCGGTGTAATTTGTTTCTTGGCCTTCCTCTTTTTCTTCGACCCTGAGGATTACGAGTGAGGGCTTGTCTTGTGACGCAGTTGGGTGCTTTGCGCAATGTGTGTCCTGTCATGATTTCCTCCTCCACTGGAATCTGGTTCGTTCTTTCCCACAGAAGACTGTTGCTGATGGTTTCTGGCCAACAGATTCGAAGTATTTTGCGTAGACGACTGTCAATTAATACTTGCATCTTCCGCATGATTCAAAAATAATTCGAACCATTCAAACAAGTTGTCTATACTCAGTGAATCTAGAATAGAAACCACCAATTGTAATGAAATAACATCAGCTAGTCAGAAAGCTGTTTGTCTGTCCGCATTCAGTGGGCATTCATATCTTACTTCCACTAGCCACATATCAGAATCTTAAGCTGTCAGTAAATATAATTGATATTTCTTTAAATAACATTATTCTCTGTGTTTGTTTTTAGATTGAATTGGTTTCTGAATCATCATTCAGCTCAGTGAATTGTGAATATTATATTATTTGAGCAGTTCCATTAATAACTGATAGAACTGTTCTCTAGAAGAACAACTAAATCTCCATGATCAAACCATTTAGTTGAAAGAGCAACACACACTCAAAAACGCATAAGTAATTCATAGAGGAGTTGGTTGCAATGAGTGTAATAGTTGTCCACACTAAGAATAGACTTACGATTTTCATTCATATTATGAAAGCTTATGTTATAGAAGAACAAATATTGCAGAAGTTGGAACCAATTTAATAATTACCAATTATACTCTTTTCACATAATTACTGAGTACCAAGATTTTATTTATTAATTAAAATGCATAAATATTGGTACGAAGGGACGTCTGAATATTAATGCATCACACTATCCTCACTATCGGCTGTCCTAGAGCATTTAAGGCCAGTTATTAAATAACTATGCATATATCAGCTTTCGATCGACTTATTAACTACTGTTATACGATTTGCTATTCCTATTGTGTAGCCACTCTATTTACTTTTGCAGTCTTCCCCAGAATATTAAGCTATGGAGTAAATAGCCGACCAAATTAGAAGTAGAATTTTGATTAGACACTAGACATGTGGTATTGGTAGAAAAGATGTTTAATAACACGGTATAAAATTTTTTTCGTGTAATGCTGCTTAAATTATCAAACGTCAAGTCAAATCAACACTAGATGAATTAAACAAATATGATATTGGTCATTTCCTTCAAGGTTACATGTATGCCCTGATGACGGATGCTCCTAGAAGATCACATAGGCTTCTTACTGATTATCTCTGAATAGGCAACACCGAGACGGTACAGGTAGTGTCGAGTCAACTAAACATATTAGAACTTTGTTGATAGAATTCAGTCAGCTCTAACAAAACTAAATAAACATGTTATTGACCATTAATTAATAATAATTCGTTGGAAATGGCAATTATCTTGGATAAATGAAATCGTGTTAGATTCAATCAATACTCATTCATCACACACCTAAAACAACTGGTGAACTAGTAATTTAACAACTAATTATTCATATATGGATTTACCTTGGAACAGCTCTTTTATTGTATGAAAGATAGTTTCAATGTTCAGTTTTCCTAATTAAAATAGCTAGGCTGGGATTTGAAAGAGAGACACAGTCGAAAAAATAATTTTGTTTGCACCCATTCTTTTCTTCTTTCGAACAGATCCATTTTTTTAGTTTATCATATATATTACTTACTAATATTCAGTAACTAATGTAGTGTCGATTATATTTGGTTGACTATTTTTGGTTGTTGGTGTGTATCGTTCGTGCACTTACATGAACTTTTAACGACCGATTTACTCATTGATATCATTGTATCTTTATTGACCTTGTTACAATTTGCTTTTAGTTTTCGTGCATCAACTGAATTTTGATTTATGTGTAACAATTCCAATATATATTTTCTATGCCTAATTCTCTGTATGATTGTGATAGTTATTATTCAATTTGTCAGCGGTTATCAGAGGATTTTTTTACCTAACTGTTCATTGATATCTCCCAAATTGAGATTTTCATATGTTTTTTGTTATTTGGAATTTTCTCACTGTATGGTGAAAAGTACTGAATGAATGAATGAATGTAAGTACCAAATAACCCAATCACCAGTACACTGATGAACTAAAGAAAATCACTTTCTTTTTAATGCAGTATTCTTGAGTAGTGATCATTTCATTAGGATGAAATGTGAAAGTTTAGTGAAAAAATTATTACTATACTAAGAGTAAATTTTTCCAAGCTTTTATATTATCTTTTGTTTTCCGAATATATGGTTTCATTCAATAAAGACTTTAACTATGACTAAATTGTTTATGGAATACAAGATAAACAGGCTTCATCAAATATTTCACTATTTCAATGACAGTAATAATAATAATAATAATAAGAGTATCACAATTTATATGAGAATTTGTTTTACAAAGCCTATAGCATTTAAGGTATAATAGAGAGAGAATGTGGTAAAATGAAGGAATTAAGAAGTGAATAGAAATGTAGATATTGAGTTTGTCTCTTGATTATTTGTAAACTTTTAAAAATACACACATAGAATTCAATATGAAAGTTTTAACAGTTCCCATGGAACTCTAGTGTTTTTTCGATAAACACTAAACCAATTAAATAAATCAAGAATTGAAAATGTATATCAAACACGTTGTAAGAAAAAAAACAGGCATAAATTGTAATTAATCCATTTGTTGAACTTTTTTTTTTCATCAATTACATTGTAACATTATAAATAATGATTCTGATTGAAATGCTTTACATGATAATATGTGTGTGTGTGTGTGTGCATTTAGAGGTATTTATTTTTTGTTAATCTATGCATAGGACATAAACGAATAGGCCAATCAATGAATGGATGAAAACGCCACCACAAGAAAAAATAAATAAATAATCAAAGTTAATGCATGAAAGACATTTTTTTGGTAGAAAAAAAAAAAAGAAATAATCATTGATTCACAATGTTTCATGATCTATGCATAGGTTTACAAGGGATTATTTTATTTGTACATTTCATAACAGATTGAAATGTTTATCATAGCAGCATTCTATATGAATGAGATGTCAATGGGATGTCTGCAGTTTGGCCTTATTTTTTCTTCAATAAATTGGCTAAAAATTAACAAATGAAAATAAACACAAGTAGTATATTTTGTCATCAGTAATAAATCAAGTAAAAAAAATTTTTTGGGTTTTTTTTTTCCTTTTTTCTATGTTTATTATTAATCATGATTAGAATAAACGAAGATAGGTTGGTTATTCTATAAAAACTTACATCACAAGCAAATGTATACTGGTTGTAAATTATGCCAACTAAGACTGATCAGATATTCAGTTCTAAATTCAAGAAAAGATAATAACTATTCAGAATTAAATTAGAATTTATAACTGTTTGACAACTGACAGTCTAGGTTCAACAGCCAACTGGAAATTTCAGGCGACGGGTACTGCGTCCGAATTCAGCAGTAAACATTAACTGAAACACGCAAGTATATTCCATTAATCAGTCTCAAATGGAACGGAATGTCTGTCTTTGAGTCCACTGTTATCTGTATTTCATCTATTCTGCACAAACTTATGATGCGTTTAGGTGTATAGATACAATTATACTAACCACTGAATGGCAATCTAATTTCATCGATCCAATTGGTGGCCAATCACTAATCTAAGTAACTCAATAAAACGATGTGAATACTTGCATTCCAAGTGGTTGAAGGATTCTGAGCCTAGATTTCATTCTAGTTAGGATTCATAAGTAAAGCCTATTCCTTCGCACAACAAAACATGACCGATTATTAGTGAGTGTAAAAAATGTACTCATAACCCAAGTAGTCTGTTTCAAATACTTTTTATCATAATAATTGATAACGTGAAAGTTCAGTTCTTTCAAGACTACAGATACTCTAATTTTTTTTTAATGAAATATAGACTGTTATTAGATGATTTTTCAACTACCTGCAACTAAATACATTCTGTGTATATTTCAAAATATATTAATTCATTCTTTGTTGATCTTTACAAGAATCATAGCCTTATGAAAATGAGCGTATACTGGATAACTTTCTCATTAGAGTCCAGTTGTTAATTCTTGCTTATACAAAATCACTAACCAGAAATAAAAAAATACATCATATGATAATGTAACTATGCTAACAGTTATCGAACGGTTCTGGCTACAACTACATGTTTAGTAGTTGTTAAGAATTAATGAATTTAGACAGTAGTATGTTAATTTTTCACGTTTCATCAACATATTATGTAATAAAATAACAGAATTCAATAACAAAACATAAGAAAAAGGCATTAGCTAAGATGTGCATAGGATAGTTTCACCATGAATTAATAAACTATTAAAATACCAGTAAACATTGTGCAAATGTTTCAATTCAACTTCTTGTTCCACATCTATGTACATCATATACTTGGAACTAAACTTTTTACACAATATTGCATGAAAGCATTTAATGATGCTTTTTTTTCCAACATTTTCAACTGACACCACAATTTATCATTTTAAACCACTGAGGACCATTAAAATCAAAAGATAAAATACAAATAACGTAGCCTTATTCATTTGTTTTTCTTTTTATAACCAAGTACATTGATTTCATTCGAAGGATAAATTTATTCTTAGAATATTTATTGCTTAAACAGATAGTTTTTGCGTTTAACTATGTGAGACACTTAGATTATAACTAAACAAAATCATATCATTCTGTCACTTCTCTATATGTAAACTGGTTTTCTATTAACAAGAAAGTGCAATCATGCTGAATTTGAATGTTTACATAAGTTTATGAGTTCTTTCTGTCACTCTCTCAAACATCCTATGAAAAAAATTACTATTTTACTCTACACTAATTATTTTTCTTTGCCATTACAAAAATAAACTATAGAAAGTGTAATTTTTAATAATATTTTCATAGAACAGCATAGATCTATGTTTACTTTTGATCTCTCTAGACTACTCATAAGTAAGCTATTGAATTGTGAAACAAAAAGTGGAAATCTATAATTATACTTTCTCCCTAATAAGTAAACTAGAAGTAAATGACAGTTTTTTGATGTCAAAAAACGAAAGATTTGATGTTTATTCATAGTATGTCAGAGTAATGTTAACAGGCATAACAACCTGAAAATTGATAATTTGATATAAACCAATCACTTTTGGATATATACATATATATATATTTGAGAAAAAATTAGCTTACTTTTTAACGTAAAGAATGTTACGTTGTGTATTTTGTTGAGTCTCTTTTCTGTATTTTACATTTTCATATTAACAAACATGTACATGATTATTTTTTAATTATTTTAAATTATTATTTTCAACAACCGTTGAATTTTGTCGTTGTTGATTACGACCTTTTGCTCGACGATTTTTAAACCATACTTGTACACGTGATTCAGGTAAACGTAATTTTAAAGCTAATTCTTCACGAATATAAACATCAGGATAACGTGTTTTAGAATATAATTCTTCCAACATTGATAACTGATGTCGAGTAAATGTTGTACGCTCACGACGTTGACGGCGGATTTGATTGCCTACAATTGAAATTGAAGGCGAAATAAAATCAATGTGTCTTTTGTTGAATTACAAAATTAAATTTGACTGTTTTGTCAAAAAAAGTGATCATTTCTCTAGCAAAGAAATATAATGAGTGTTTCCAATGATTATTATATTTTTTTAAATGTTCCAATATTCTTCATTCATTTAATCATTGAAATTATAGGTCAATCATCAGTAGACTACCGTTCGAAACCTATAAGCATGGTACGGCCATTTTGTCCTTGTGTAAAACTCATCAACAAATGATATTTAATATTTGTAACAACAAATGAATATATATTTTTTCAGTTGTGGTGTATTCTCGGAACTCGGTGATTCAATTGTGAAGCTTTCACTTACGTTCTGCACAACATATTGAAAACGTTGTTCACGTGTATATGAGCTGTTTCAATAATCCACGTGATGTAAATCAGTTTATTCATTTTGACCTCGTGTCAATGACTCACCTTTATTTAAAGATGATTTTTAAGTGAATAGTGAAAATTGTTGAAAATCCAAATGCTTTGAGCAACTGTGACTCACTAAATCACATGAATTATTGATACGAACTTATGAGCATAAGACGTACAGACAATTCAGTCAAAATTCAATGATCTAGAATTTTAATATCTAAGAATTTGTAACATAACCATGTTCATCATTCAATGTGTTATAGGCAGATTAATGTTGCATTTCTAAAAATAGACTTCCTTCACAAGTTACGCTTTTTTACTACAAACGTTTTTGTAATATCACAATTTCATTTGACTCAGGTCTTGTCATCATAAGTGCCTACTTTGATTTTGAGAAAAAAAGAAACCTTTGTTCTCAGTTAGGACTGCATCGGTGAATAACAATCCTGATATTGATTTTTTGAACATCATGAAGGGATATTCATCATAATATGATGACTTTGTTGATCGTTTAGTTAATTGTAAAAAGTTTACCACTATACAATATTTTCGAGCTATAATAATCATTAAACTATACAATTTATGGTTCAAAAACGAAAATTCTCATTAGAAACTATGTCTTGATAACATAGTATTGAACCAACTTTAACGTTATACATAAACCATATTTGTGAAACGTGTTAATTACTTGATTGATTATAAATTGAGTACACTGTAAATCAATTAATTTATTGCGTATAAAGTTTTTTATTTATACATGATAAGTGATTAAAGAATTAGCATGATGAGCAACAGGTTGATCTATTCTACCATATGAATTTGAAACATGAAATTGTTGAAAACAAACGATATTCATAGATTATTAATGTTTGATCATAGGTGTCTCCCGAGCATCACTCTAATCTGTTCAAATTATCTAGTGTCAAGTGTTGAAGATATATATATATATACATAACAGCAATGAATAGACACCAGATCAGTTGATAAGGTAATGAATCTTATTTATCGGCTGAGCATGCTGAGACATGTATTACGCATACTCAGTCACTGTTCGCCCTGATATAGGTGGTGTAGGAGTAAACAGGAAGAAGGGCACGACCAAACCAAAATAAAGATATCTGTGACTGCTGATCGAAGACGTTTTGGAAAGTGTAAACAAAGTGTCGTGAGTACACATGACTGTAAGCGTTCAGAATCAATCAACATTACAAATGTATTGATTTTATCATTTATTTTCATAAAGTTTGTAAATAAAAGTAGATAATTAATTTGAACTTTCTTAAGTATAATCAAATTATTAAAATTCAAACATCCATTCTGCATATAATTCATTTAGTTAAACCAATAAAAACTTGACAATCAACCAAATGAGATAAGAAAAGGTTTACAGTAAGCAATTTTGCATGTGATGTTAATAAACTATTAATGTCATTAAAATCATGGGTCGATCAATGTCAGACCACCATTAGAAAGCTGGAAACACTGAACACCCGTTTCGTCCTAGTATCAGATTCATTAGCAGTGCACATCCACAACCATTAATTACACTGGTCACGGCTTACCACTAGAACTCAGGAAAATTTCTACTTGAAGCTAGCCACTAGCCATACTCATGATTTCAATGAAACTCAACAGTCTTCACAAATCCATAATGAGAAGATTAATAATCATTTTCACATATGCACAATTGACTATAAGCAATGTATGTGTTGAGATGCTCTATACATTTAATTGATGAGTGACTCTTATTCCTTGTCGCATATCTTCGACACAATCAATGCAAGATTTAATTCGAAGATTTTGATAAGAGTAAATTATTAGTATAGTCTATGAATATTAAACAATAACAATTTCATTTGTAAATTTATAGCTTCATATTTAAGACTTAAATCGATTTTACACTTGACTGAATTTTCACAATAGTGTAAATAGATCACAACACTTTTGACACTTAGATTTCACTAAAATGTATAAACTAAAATTCAACTTCATTAAAACCGTAAATTGATTCATTATTCTAAATGTTGACGCAATTATTAACAGCTTCTTTATCAGTTTGGTTGTGTGTTTTTTTCGGTTTTTGGTTTCTGTCAAGATACTAATAATTTTGGACGCAGTCCTTGAATAATCAATCAATCACTCAATCAGTTGCATTTGGATCGATAAATTTGTAAAATGTACAACGAAAGTCGATAATTTTTTTTAATAAAACAACTAAACGTGTAAATAAATAAACGGACAGAACACAATTTTCTACAACTGACACATAATCATCTTGTATGTTTGGCAAGACGAGAGAAATTGTTAAACATAAATTACTTTAGAAACAAAAAAAATTAACACGTAATAAAAATTGAATTTAAAGAATATTTGACAAATCATACTTTGAAAGTAAACACTATTAAACGAATCAATTCACTCTAGGTTAAACAACCATTAATATTCTGGAAAAAATAAAAAGCGCACTGACTGATTTATATTAATAAGTGATAGAATTCTTTCATGGTGTATGTCCATGATCATCCTCCCGTCTAATGAGATACATACAACTTGAGAATAATAAAAACAAGTGAAATAATATTCAATAGTGGATAATTTTTTGTTTATATTAGCCAACTCATAATTTTTTCCCATCGAACAATTTGAAACAATTAAAGAAATAACTGAAAAAATTCATTAGTCTCTAAAATCTTTAGGCTCTGAAGTGAGTAGAGTTTCAATGGTTTTACGCTTTAAACAATAGTCACTTCATGTGATACTGATATAAACATCTAATATCTGTATTGATATTTATTTCACCGTATTACATAGTTACAATCAATCCGTTACTACTATTCAACATACACTAAACAATTCATTTCATAGTACTGTTAAATGATCGTGTTTGTCAAACAAGTTGAAAATTTTTAATAGTAATCTCATATGACCAGGGCTTATGAGTAACAAATAACATGTGAATTTGTTGTAAGTCAACAGCTACCCTAAGATTTCATATACTAACATTTGTTCCATTGCCTTGTCGATTAAAGCTGTGGGTTAAGTTAAGTTCAAGCAGTTATATTCTATGAACACTACCTGCTTTAGTTCGAGAAGATAGTTAGTATCTTTCAGCCTAAATATGGCGCATAAATATTTAGTTGCTGGTTTGAACTAATGTTTATGTTTTTAAACAATAAACTTTTATATCTGCTAACAGTTGTTTAACAAACTATACTTGAATTGTGTATTACATTCCTTATTACAGATTCTTGTACCAAATAAGTAGATTACTGTACATACATTTATTCTTACTGTTTACACAATAAGCAAAATACAAAAACAATGTTCCTATGAGGCAGAAATGTGAATCTGTTCAATACTGAGTATCGTTAAAAAAAACTCACTAGTGACAGGTTGAATAACCACTAATGCTTATGCCTTGACAAACGAGTAATAATTTTGAAAATTCAATCTTGTTTGTATCAGCGTCAATTATCAAGTCGGTTAATCAAAACGATTATATATATATATGTAATCGTTATATTAATATTAATATACATTCAATAAGATGCAATTTTTTTCACAATGATCTATAATTCTAGACCTACACACAAATATATATCATAATCACTATTAAATTCATTATTCCCTAAGGTGTAATTAAGATGAAGATGATAATTTTATCGCAATGTTAAATTTTTTTATTGAAAAAAATTTTTATTTTTTCGTCAATTAATAAAGACTCCGTAATGATAGGTGTGAATCATATGTAACAGTTATGCAATTTTATACGTTATCGAACATGTGAATAGGTTGTTAATCTTTGTTAATCACTAGATTCAATTATAATTGTTCAATCAAGTTCACTTTTGAACCCATATGATCTTAGCAAAAATAAAAATAAAATTAGGTCGATTAGGTTTGTTCATCAAAAAAATCGGTTACAGTATTTTGTTTTGATGTGTAGATTATATTCAAGTTAAGGTGAATTCATCTTCCATTGACTAACATAAGCTGACAATGCAATGAATAATTATTTCATCCTAATTTAGCATAATACAGGAAGTGAGTATTCACTATAGCAGATCTGTGTTATGTAATGAGCATACAGTTTGTGTGTGTGTGTGCTTGCGAGTGTTTAGACTGATGAGTTAAAATTCACTGATTTATGATTTAAATTTAATCACAAGTCATCAAATGAATCGAGGAGTATCGAATAATAATTATAAGATTATCAGTAACAACATTACAGTGGAATAGAATAAATTTGATTTCAGGTTAGGAAGAAATTAGGAAGAAGTGCTGAACGGTGGATTGGACATTCTGTGGAAATCACAAAACTTTATCAACAGACAAGTCCTAGTCTGGAATTCTCAAGGACAAAGGCAAATAGATAGACCAAGAAACACATTACTTCGAGAATCGGAAACAGACATGAAACGAATGAACAGCAGTTGGGTAGAATCGAAAATGATGACCCATGACACAGTGGCTTGGAGAATGTTGGTCGCTGAGTTATGCTACATTAGGGCTAGCAGGCGTCGAAATCATCGACATACTATGAATTAAAAATAATGATTTATTAACATTACCTAGTAAAACATTTTATATTGAATGATAATTTAAAGCTATTAGTCCTTTTTTGAAAAATTTGAATAATCCGATGGACAAACAAATATACTCAAATTGAATGAACATATTTGTGCAATACATTTTGAACAATTTAGTCGCTCATGTATAAAAAGTGAACTAGACAAAAAAGTTAAGAGAACAATAATACTAATGATAATGATAGAATACACGGTGTGAAAATCATACTGGATAATAAAATCAATATTACCAAAGCGAACAACAAACTGGGTCTGAATTGATGTAGGGTTTTCAGTTTTTCTATAGCCAACACGTCTGTGATAATTTTCTTTTACAGAGTTGTGAAGATAATTGATGAATCACTCATCATTAGATCGGTATCATAAACCTGAAAGCACTAGACGGCCATCTCGTCCCAATATTGGACTTATCAGCAGTGCACATCAACGACCTTCATTCTCGCCAGCCAATGCTTAACCTCTACACCATTCTACTTCCTCCTTCTATGTTAGTCACCAGTGAGCACATGTTTATGATTCTACTTAAACAAAACAAATTATTCATATATAATTTTTAAAAAAAGTTTCCATTTATAACTTATTTACCTGTGGACATGTTTAAATCATTCGGTGTGGAACCGGCAGCGACGGCTGCAACAGCAGCAGCAGCCATTAGAAAATTATTTGATTGTTCTAACAAATTGTATGTATTTGTTTGACGGTTAAACTGTTCATTGACATGACGTTTAGTTGTACAATGATTATTTGTTAAAATATGTGTATTAATAGTTTTATTATTATTATTATTGCTGTTATGATTATTACTAGTGGTTGTTGTGTGCATAGTAGAGGAAGTAATAGTATTATTATTATTAGTACTGTTATTATTATTATGTTTGTGATTAGTACAATGAATTCTACTTGAAAGATTTGAATTGATCGCTTCTAAATTCATTTCTTGTAAAAATATCATTGGATCATATGAATTCATCATATACAGATTATTTGGTGTATATTTATAAGGTATCGTTGTATTGGAATGATTTACACAGAACTCTGATATCATGGTTGTTGTTGTTGTTGGTGGTGGAGGTGGCGGCGGCGTCGGCGGCGGCGAAGCTGAAGATGTTGATGGCAGAGATAAAGAAGAGACATTGTAATGATTGTTGGCTTCATTAGTTAATGAACAATAATTCATTGTATTCGTTGTACACTCTGAATGGAAGTCCGTTAACGCGTATTGATCTGAATGATGTTGGAGATGATAAGGTGGATGCAATACAGAATCAACATGAGAATAAGAATGTGGATGATGATGAAGGTGATGAAGATGATGATGATTATGATGAGGAGGAGGATGTGTATCAACAAGTTGATCATGAGTGTCGACTGATAAACGGTTGAACTGTAATTGATCTTGTACTATTGTATTACTACTTGATAAATCATGATTCATTTTGTCAAAATCGATATTTGAAAAATTTGTTGCACTGATATAAAAAGGATAATTCGATATTTGTGAATAATTGTCATTAGTATACATAGAATATGGACTATTATTATTATTATTATCCGGACTGTTATATAATTCATGAGTGTATTTATCAAATAGATCACGATTAACCATATTATTATTAAGAGATAACTTGGTGATATCATTAGTTGTACTACTACTACTACTAGTAGTAGTAATAGTAGTAGTACTTGTTGTTGCTGTTGTAGTGGTTGTAGTTGTTGTGATTGTGGCTGTAGTAATAGGTGTAGGAGTAGTAGCAGTAGCAGCAGTCGTAGAATAATTCAACTTATTCATCTGAATTACACTGGATTCATGATTTTTTAAATCATCTGAAAAATTATTATTATTATTATTATTATCATTACGACGATCAGTATATTCGTCATTGAAATCGGACAGTAAAAATGATGACAATTTCATGCGAGGTGAATAATAATCATGCTGCTCCTGCTGTTGCTGTTGATGATGATGATGATGTCTATTCAAATATGGTATAATGTCGAAATCACCAAATGGACTTTGTGTTGTCATTGGATTATTCTCGTTTGAATAAGTTAAATGTTCACTATTCACTGCATTTATGTAATTCATTTCATTCTGTTTCATACTTGATTGTTGTTGATGAATTGCATTCAAATCAGTTGATAAATTGAAATAAGGTTGATTAGATGTTAACATTGTTTCATAATCTGTATATTTGTAATCATAATGATTATTCCATAGTGTAGTTGTATTACGTTGTTTCAATTTATCATCACATGTTGCATTAATTGTGGCGTTCATATTATCACTTAATGATAAAGCAATTGGATAAGTCGATTTTTGTACAGTTTTATTCAAATCACATTTATATTCAGCAAAATTTTGTTTTAATTGTTCCAGTTGATTATTCGATTCCATGAGATCATTATTCTTATCATGATTAAAATCATGTTTATCATAATCCATAATAACATGAGTTGTTTTCAATTTTCGATTAGTAGTAGTGTTGTTACGATTAGCATTTGAAGCAATGGATAAATCTAAATTCGACCATAATGTTGTTGTTGTTGTTGTTGTTGTTTGAGAATATGGATCCGGGTGTATGATTGGAAGTGTTTCATTTTGATTTTTTAAATTATACATACAGTTATTCGATGCTTGATCCAATAATATTGATGACATTGTTTGTATTACTGCTGATGTAACAGAAGTTGATGCTGTTGATGCTGTTGATGATGAGGATGATGTGGACGAAATCGATTCGGAAGAGAAAACCGATGATGCCGCTGAACATGACGATTGGGAATCAATTTTCAATTCCTGTTGCATTATGTTTGTTTTAAATTTATTTTTATACTCAATAAATGGATGTGTTGATAAATTTAATAATTTCGAATAATGATTAATATCAGTGATCGATTGTTCTAAATTATATAGTTCGGATTTATTTACAGTAGAATTCTGATTATCAAATGAATAATTGGTGTGATTATTTCTATTCAGCATCATAGTTGTTGTTGTTGTTGTAAATGAATTAGTTGGTTTGTCAACACTACATGATAATTGTGACTTTTTATTCGATTCAGTGTTCCAGTAGAAATCATGTAAAGAGAATTCTGGTGATTTTGCATTGTCTAATGCATTAGGCATTTGATGCTATAAATGTTGACAAAGCAAAAACAAACACTCAAACATGTTGAAAAAGAAAGAAAGAAAAACTTAACAATGAAACATTGATTTTATTAGTGCAAAATATTTCATTCCTTTTATTCTTTTTTCATTCTACATCACATTGTCTTAGTAAGATTTAACCAAAAAAAATGGTGTATAAATTGTAAGCTTTTATTTAAAAGAAAAAACAGTGAATTTATGTCAAACAACTACTATTCATACAATCTTATAGGGAAATTTACTAGGGAAGTATGAGTTTAAGATAAAATCATAGATATCTATCAAAAGAGATGAATAGTAGTGCTACTACTACTACTACTACTACTACTACTACTACTACTACTACTACTACTACTACTACATGAACTATTACATTTTAGTTAATCTTCATAAATGAAGAAACAATAGAGAGCTATTTTTTCTGAGTATGAGACTGTTAGTAGCTCATGTGCATGATTTTAACACAAGGGATTGAATCACAGACCTGACTATTTTTGAATTTAGTGCTTAGCTTAATTGTAAACCATTATCTTCATGGTTCATGTTTGCGAGTTCAACCAATTCACGTTAGTTAAAAACTATCTCTCAATGTCACTGGTAAGTAACTTGCTCACATTTGAGATAATGAGTTTTTATCGGAACTCGGAGAATTACATCTGGACATTATTCACTAATCATACATGTTAGTTGTCTTCTACTGAACAGAAGATATTTAAATCTGTTTGCTGATCAGTGAAATCAATCCGTTTTATATTTTTTACATCATTTCTGCAACCCTATAGACTCATGACATGTAAAATATCAAGGGCAGGCAGTTTATATTTTTCTCTTTTAAAACATAAAAATGGTATTGAATTCAAGTTTTTACAAACAATTAATTCAATCGTAATCAATACTTACTCGACTTGCATGATTCGATTGATGATAACACGGAGGATAATCATCTAATCGATGATGTTGATGATAATGTTCATTATTATTATTATTATTATTATCTGATGGATAACTAATAAGATTTGAATAATTCAATGTATGCAATGGATTAGAACTATCTGAATTGACTAAATCACCGTCATCATCATTATGATTATTATTATTATTATTGTAGTGACAGTTCATTGGATTCATGTATAAATTTTGCATATCAGCAGATGATTTCATTAGATCATACGCATTATTATTATTATTATTATTGCTGATTGTTGTGATAGATGTCATCGAAGTAGGCGTATTACCTGGATTAACTTCAAATGTAGTAGTAGTAGATGAAAGTAACATTGGAATTTGAATAGAAGGTAATTCATCCGTTGAATTTGATGCTGTCACTGTTCCTGATCTCGATGAGGACGATGACGATGACATTGAAGTTGTCGAGGAGAAAGAAGCCGACTCAACAGATGATGACAATAAATTGGATTCAGAATAAAAACTTGAATTTCTAATGTCTTTTAAATCAAATACATTATTTCTTGTAAATAGTGATGTTTCAGGTGAGTTGGTTGAATTTGATGACATTTGATGACTTGTAGAATAATTCATATTCATTTCATTTGCATAAGATGAATTGAATGTTGTCACAGTGGAATAATTATTTGGTTGAAAATGACAAGTTACACATGATGATGATGATGATGAATTGCTTTCCGGAGATAATAATAAATCAGTTTTATTCATAAACAATGAATGCTGATTATTCACAGGATACATTGAAATTGAATTGTCCATTCTGATTTTTAAAAAACTAAATCGAAATATCAGTAATAATAATAATAATAATAATAATAATAATAATAATAATAATAATAATGACAATATTTAATGGCTTCATTCTGTAAAAAATAAAAACACTTTTTCATGATAAGATATTGTAAAGTTGAAAAATCTACAAAAAATGTGCTTAATTTCGGCGCAGTAGTCGTATTCTAGTTTCATCCCTATTCATAATTCAGTCGACTGTTCATGACATTGAAACACACTAAATTTACGCTAAAAATTAGCCAATGTGTGTTGTTCAACGACCTCAGTATGCATTCATAATTTGTAACTATTTAAAAAATTGTAGAATTTTAAAACTGCAACTTAATTTTTCCTGAAAGAATAAAGTTTATGATTCAGTGTGCCCTTGACTTAATCAAATTGAATAATTCCTGTTTCTGTTTTGTAGTAACTTAACTGTCCTATTCAATCAGTTTGATTTATGCATTTAATAATGGTAGAAATAATTAAAAATGTGAGGTGATAATCAGCTTAAGTAGAATTGTTTGGAGTGGACGAAAAATAAAGGTTGTATTCGATATGTACAATTCCAAGTTTTATAATGAAAGGGTCTTCATATCACTTCATGTTATTTGACTTTTAAAAAATGATTACTCTTTTTTAGCACTGAACTCTCCAGCATTATACACTCGTCTATTCATTTTATGAAATAATCACTCTACATGAATTATGACACCCCATTGGATGCCAGCGCATTAATCTACTGGTTAAGCGTTTGTATGCGAGTACGAAGCTCCTAGATTTGATTGCTGAGTGCAGAAGTCGCCGGTGCGAACTGCTCATCAGTCTTGTAGTAGGACAAAACAGTCATCTAGTGCTGTCATATTTCTACTGGTTAGTCTAACACAACAATCTCTATAATCCTATGATGATGATGATGATGATATTTTTCATTTTACTTATAAAATACTCATTTATTGTTGTCACAGTATTTGAAGTTCAAAATGTTAATAAAATTTATTTCACTTCAGTTTTCTTTCTATACATATACATATGAATATATTAGATTGGATTGGATCGATGATGTGTAGTGAAGAGTGATCATTTTTAACCTTTAAATATTCTTCAACTATTAATTTACAATAAAATGACTATCGAAAGACAATACCATAGAATTGTTCAATTTTAAGTGTACATTTAATTCGAATTCATACTAATTAGTTTTGTAAATTGGATGAATTTGTTGAACACAGTAAGTTTTTAAAATTAATCTTTTATCTTATCATACTGTGTTCAAAATATTTAAAAATAAAGAAAGAGAATTTTTATGAAATTTTCAACGCTGATTGTTATATTCAAACATTAAAAGAAGTGAAATAATTAACTCAATGACAATGGAATATTACATTATGACACAATCAGAGTTTCTTTTTCTATGATAATAATAATAATAATAATATTTTCAAAATTTGAAGAGTCTCTTGATTCGTTGAGGATTATAACTCTCCAAACAAAAATATCTACACTTCACATAAGAACAATCATAGTTTGACACTTTCCTTTTTTTCAATATATATATATATATATATATATATATATATATATATATATATATATATATATATATAAGTAATTTATTTCTTCGACAACCTATAACCTCAGTATTATAAATGTGTTTTAAAATGATGATATCTTACATCTTAGTACATATTTATCAAAAAAAACAGACAGATTTGGCTGTTTTATTTCTACTTGGTGATACCAACTAACAGTCCAAACTGAAATAGGATAGATCAGAGTTTAAACCTATCAACTAATAGCAGCTGACAATTGAACTCAACTGTTACTTCATACAATGAACAATTAATAAGACTTATAGTAAAAAAATGAGCTGAATTAACAATCAAGTCTTCTATTATGAAACAATAAACAAAGTGAAAAAATTTTGAAAAGTCTCAGTAAAATTGGTCAATGATGATGTCTTCAAGCAAAATTAAATAATGAGTTTCAGTGGATTTCAGGATTCTCGTTTTATTTTATTTGTGTTACGTTAGCTAGATGTGTTAACATTTCATTGTTTTGGCTTGGATTTAATGTCGTTCACTTCAGATCTCAAGACTTGATCCAATAAGCTATTGAGTTCAACGAACCATTAGCCCGTATAGCACAGATGAATTATAATTTTACTGATAAGCAATTGAATTTGATTTGATAATGGCTAGTAGTGAAAGCAAAGTGCGTTCTAAATTCCACTGTTTACAAAAAATACTTTTGACGGATGGTCAAATCAAAGCAATTCTCTGTGAACCGATAAATAGTAACATTCAAATTCTACAGATAATCAGATACTGAATGAATTCATTTCACTTATTGGAGGTTTGTAATGAGAATTTTCATGCAACTTGTCTAATAATCAAAACAGTATTATCATACAGCATTCAAAACGTTTCAATATAAATAATCCACATCTTTTACATGTAACTAATATTATTGTCATTATGGTTTGATTTACCTTGCTCTATTGTCATTTCAACTGAATCCTACAATAATGAATTGTGTGTGTGTGTTTGTGTGTTGAGGGTTTTGACAACTGGAAAACTATGATATGTATACATAAGTTCCCTGATACAAATGATTGATATATGTTTTATATAGTAAGTATTATTGTCACTTGTTAATAATATTATTAGTATTATTAATCTTAAAGATAAATTAGGTAATTAGTGTAATAAATTTATGACTGTGGTCATTACAAACTCAATGTTAACCTGTGGATAATGCTTTTCAACTGACAGTCATTATCAGATACAATGAAATATACTCGTAAGTGTCAATCATATATATATATATCTTTGTATAACTTGCATCAATTACGTTAGTTTATATTCAAATCCTGAATCGATCAATGTTAGTAAACTGTTAGAAACGTGAAAGCATTGAACGGCCGTTTTGGTCTTAGTATGGGTGGTCCAAACATTGATCGACGCATTATTTCAATGAAACTCAACAATCTCCATAACTATATGATGAAAATTATCTTGTGCTTACTAGTGACTAGCTTCGTCAGAAAATTCTCCGAGTTCTAGTCAGAAGCCATTACCAGTAACGTATAAACGTGTAGAGTATGATTCATTTACGCACAGATCACAATGGATAGTATGATTTGATTAAAGTTAGATATTAACACCGTTGGCTACCGGCTCATTGGTCTAAAGGATTAAGCTTTCGAGTGCGAGGCGTTTTTATTTTAGTGATTGTTGAGTGTGAAATTTCACATGACAGACTAATTTCCATTTAACAATCAGTAAAAATTAAGAAGTCATAAATAGAAATTTCGTGGTTGTGAAGATTGTTAAGTTACACATTTTTTAAATCATGAATCGATCGAAGTTAGACCACTATTAGAAACCTGAGAGCACTGGACGGCCGTTTCGTCCTGGTGTGGGACTCATCCTAATATGAGATTTATTTTCTCAACAGCTGATAGTCACAATCTAAATAGGAATTGAATGGATACATTTTAAATCTTCTCTTGGAAATATTGGGTCAATTTAAATTTTACCTACATTTCCAATAATATACAAATGACAATCATTCGATAACAGTGATCACAACTGGGGATAAATTCAACTGACACATATTGAACTAATCTGTTTATTAATAATACGAACTATTCATTCTTGACGTATTTGATTGTAGGCTGAAAATCGAATCATTTCAAGTGATCTATCATTTCCCAATGGATTTCAATCTCATCTCTTACTTATAGGTAAAGCTATAGGAATTTCAACCTATGATTAATTTCAATGTAAACTTTTGTCACTCACAATAGTAATTATTCAATTATATATATATATATATTGAAAAAATCACTAATTTACACCTTTATATGAAGATAACATTTTTAATTACCTAGTGAATTTCAGTTAGTGATTAGTGATTGATTACTCAATGTTACGTAATAATAACGTAGAGATTGAGAAAACATTCGTCTCATTGCTACAGACTTCACATATGAAGGTCATATGTAAGAAATGCACAATCACAATGACATTTTCATACTTACATTGTGCAAATGTTATTTTTTTTTCGATTTTCAGCGATAAAAAAATAAGTTAGGTCATGTAAATTGATTTTTTACTTGATTAGAATTTATCATATGAAATGACTGATGAATTCTGAGAAAAAATCATTGAAAACTAGAAAAAAGCCTTTCGAATAGTCGCTACTTTGTACCAAACAAATAAATTCTTTGCTTATCGACTAATTTCACTATTGAACACAAAATTATTGACAATTTAAATGGTTTGAAAAATCACTAGACATTTTTGCTCAATTCAGTTCAATGCAATTCGTTTATAATAGATGGAAATAACAAATAGAACTGATCATTATTGGAATTGATGATTAGTGTTCCTTTATTCTTACTTAGAGAAAACAGTTCCATGGTACTGATTGACATTGATGATGAGTTTTTTAACATTAAATTAATTGTGAAGACAAATGTGTTCGTCATTCGATTTAGGGCCTTATTTGATTTTTGTGGTTTTAATCTGTCATCAGATAGACATGGTCTCAAGGTAGAGTTTGTATGCATTTGCAATTCGTATTAATTCATCGTATGTATATAACAAGTGTACCACAGATTGATTATAGCTAGACAATCAATCGAACTAGGCAGCATTAGACAGTGTTATTCTATTCTGTAGGTGATAATTCTTTTGGCCAGTTTCGTAATGAGTAAAGAAACAGTCACACAAATAATTTTGACAAATCTAATTGATCAAATGGTGTCATTCAATATGTCACAATTGTCCCGCACCATTGGACATGGCATGAAATTACTTGTAAGAATTTTTCTTGGAATCCTAATGAAAGAACATGAATCGAACTCAAAGAAATCAGTTGGTTTTTACTAGTTCGTGTCAACAACATTGGATTGTTAGTCATGAGAATATTCGTTGATCACTTTGTATTATTACATATAGCATTGTTATCGTTCAATAGGC